TTGTTAGTGTTAGTCTGGCATTAACCGGTCTGGGTGCTGGATCATTAGATGGGTCTATTGGCAACATACGTAAATCATGATGGAACCTTTGGGCGAAACTCGTCTTCCACGTACCTGAATGGAGCAAAGTCTATTGATAAACATGTGTTAACTCTCTAATTTGCGAAATTTTTAGGATGAGTGTCGGCGGCAAACCTTACTTGCACACTTCGGCGAGTCTTTGGATCGGAAAGACTGTAAATACGGTTCTAACCCTTGCAACAATTGTCTCAAAGCCTCTTCATAAAGGTAAAACTTTCAGGTGTCAACTCTCTTGATGGGCGACGGGTACCAACTTACGCATGTTCTTGAGCCACACAGTTCTTCTGGTTCCATCATCCGCAATTATTGGAAGACCACATGGTAATGGAGGGGCAAAGGTCCTTAACTAAGGATACAGAATTCTTCGGTTGTGCTGGTCTTGTCATCTCATGTTTGTCGTTTCCTTTCATCTGTTGCCATGTTCTGTCTGGAACTAATTATTTTTGTGAGGGGAACGAAAATGTGGCTTGACATATAAGCCGGAGAGGCATATGGGAACACACCGTCCGGTCTTGACCGACGATGAAAAAGTTACTTGTTTCAGTTCAGCGAAGATTAACAATGAAATCCAATTATACAAGCACACGTTGCCTTTCTTCTTCTTTCCCGTTTTGGATTAGTGATGAACGCATATCATGACTGCATCTGAAGTTACTTTACTTGCAGATTCAATTTGTCAAGTCATATATCTTAACATACAATCGACTGGTTGAGGACCTTTATTAGGGTGTAATCATCAGTTATCCAACTATTGAACACTGCCGGCTTTCTGGTCTTCAAGCATTGCACTGGTGGACTGCATTATTCAAGTCATTAGTGGACTGGGGATCTTAGATCCACACTATGTAATAGTTTTTCGCAGAGAGCACATGGCAATGCATCTATGATTTGATACTTAGGGATTTAACATGGTTTTATTAATCCTGGTCAGGCACAACATCAGATTCATGTTGACTAGGACGTGTCAATGTTAGATTCGAGAGAAAGAGAGACTACGGATCGATTCGATTTTGACTCGTGCATCATCAATTGATCAAATCGCTTGAACAGGTTGAAATTCCATGGAGGAGCAGGGCTTGGAGGTAGAGAAAATCGTCTGATCTGTTGATAATGATGGCTATGGAATAGTCAACTTTGGATTTGAATGGCAACGTAGCTGATTAAATTTAGTTCATGGAGCTGATTAAAATTGTCTGATCTGTTCTTCTCTCCTTGTTTCTGGGGTTCTTTAACCACTCCTAATTTCCTCAATTCGTCTATTTCGATTCCTCTTCGTTGTTGTATGATTCAGCATATGGCAACATATGCTACCGCAGCTACATAATCTAAAAATGCCGTGCGTGGGTGTTAAATGAACCGAAAGGCTTTCCATAGTTCCATTTTGATTTGAGGACAGTTTTCATATTTTTAGTATCGTCCCAGCAAGCTCGGAGTTACAAAAATGAGGAAAACCGAAAAGCCCCGGAAGCGAAATTTCTTCTGTCCTTTCAAAACTTTCACAGTTATTGTTGCTGTAATTTATAGGATCTTGATGTAAATTGTGAACAAACTTTCGAAACAAAGCTCCAAACAAATCGCTAGCATGACATCAGCTCAATCGGTTTGACTTGTTCATCCAATTTTATTCGGTCAATTCATGATGGTCCAACTTCAACTCATTTTAGTCTATAAGGTCGTGACTAATGCTGTATATGGAGTCAAACACAAAGCTGTTGCCCTTTGGATTAAATTGCCAGGGCACTGGTTAAGCAACTAAGGAATCAAATTGCACGGTCAAATACGTTGACTTGCCACTTTTTGTGTGTTAATCCTAATCAATATTCTGAAAAATTAAGTTATTTTATGCTAAGTATGTTTAACAAGTGATTTGACTCGCTAACATGGCCAGCATTATATATGGCTTTAGTACTAAAAAGTAGACAACAAGCTTATCAGACTACGAGTATACCTTGCGAATAGCTTTTAATTACTAAAATTCCATTAATGTAGTCCAGTTCATGGTAGGGGAATATCTGAGAGTGACACCAAAGAACTTGCTTCGATTGAAACTCGAATGCTTGTCCGATCACCACAATTTGGCGCAGCAGAGTCAAAGAATTAACCAATTAGATGACCCTTCAAAATTTTTCATTCAAACCAAATGAGTACAAATTCTGAGAGGGGCTATTTTCACCCTTCCACTGTAGCCAAACGCCAAAGAAAATTCGGTTTCAAGTACCAAAAATGTATGGCTGTGCCTCTTCTGCTTTATAGATTCATGCGTAAATAAATCAAGTTTGAAAATTATACGACTTAAGTGATTGCAAAATGCCAATATATAAATTTTTCCAACATAATCAGATCAAAGAGATGATTGTATGCTGATGAACACTCCTATTTTGCGTTCAAAATTCTTCCAAATGAGAAACTTCTGTCATATTGGAAACCCTTTCGTTGAAACTCGTGGCTGCAATTAACATATTATTTGCTGATTCCATAACATTCACTTTTTCCATGAAAAAAGTCTCTTCCAGTCACAAGATTGTGGCTTGAAGTGGACATCTAAACGGTAATCTAGTTAAAAAAAAATGTGATTTTATGCTCAACTTCACATACAGAACCACCTGCACATGCGGCTTCTGCAAGCATTTTGAGATTCGGCCAAAGCCAAAGAATAGCACGATTCAAAGCTTGCAAACGACGACTACAGACCATGAGAAGAGGTCGTTTTATGTCAAGAATTCTATGAAGAATGTTAACAATACACAGCACATGATAAAAGACAATATTTAAGTAACTTTGGAACACCATAACATGGCTCATGCCAGCTCGCATCTCCATCCTGTGTTGTTTTGAGACTCTAAATTTCATGAAATGCAGCTTGAATCTACCCAAGAAGGATGGGATTAACTAATTGTCAATAAATGGAGATATTTGAGATTGTAGCATGACAATTTACCCCATGAAGGATAAGGTACAAATGCATAAACATCATTTCACCAATCGCAGTTGGACCGCAATGAACAAAGACTTTGTTAGCTGGCCAATGAAAAAGAAAACAACAAGCTTCGGAGAAGTAAGCAATTAGCAACACTTTCCTTGTTTGTGTATAAAAACAGAATTTTTGTTAATAAGATTATGCTGAAAAGGTAAAGTGCAACAAAAGATGTAATTGTTACTTGGTTATTTTGCAGTACCCAATTAGCAAGATCAGCAATATGCAATAGTTTCCTAGGAGGTGAATTTTAACTTTACAAATTCAACGTCGCAAATGTGAAAACCGAGCTTATCAAATCAGAAACCTATAAGACAACATTCAAAGGATATTATCACACTAATAAACTGATAGAAAATCGAGGAGATTGTCATCATGCATCCTTGTATACTAATTTTCAGGTGAAATCTACAGCTCAGATAGGATAAGCACACGAGTTAGTCTTTCATAGTTATGGTATGACTGGCAGTGCATACCCCCCTCTGCAGAGCCTCATCAAGATCGGGAGTGATATCATTACAACGCAAGTGCATCAAACAACTCTGCATCAAGGTAACATACGAGACAAATCAGCTGGTACGTATTTGATTAATAGAGGAAGAACCTAACAAGCATACGAAAGTAGATTCAATTGAGGAAACTACACTCACAAGCATTCGGGAATGTCTTTGTTGAGACCAGTTCGGTGTTGGATCTTCCCAAGCATCAAAACTTCCTCGGTACAATCCAATTGGTCCACGAGCCTCTTCAAGGTTGGCACACAGATGGCCCTCGGCTGTTGCGATTCTTCCTCTTGCAAAATTCCCCTTCATTTTGATTGGGCTCTGGTATGAAACTTGAAGTTCCTTTGCCAAGTTAGCCAGACCCAGATCAATCATGCAATAAAACAATTCCATGACAACAATAGTATCAAAGGGTATGAAAACTAATTAGCAAATTATTGAGCTCCTCGCCCCAGCTTGTTTCACAGAATGGGCAAAATGTTGTCCCAATTATGCACAAGATTATCGATACAACTCATTGAATTAAAGCCCCAAAGTAAACCCCAGTCATTACATTTTGATCTTGGCTGAAGCATCATGTCAGCTTCTATGACCAACTCCCCCACTCCTTCAATTATGTAAGACTAGCAATTTAGGAAAGTACAGAACCCTGTCATGGAAAACCTTCTCGTCAAAAGAAGATAGTGATGAAAAGTAGGTCATGAATTTCGGAAGAAAAATTATTTTTCACTGCTTATTTACCTCTGTTGAGGAAACATGACTTGTGCTGAACTTACACATATAGAACCACCTGCACATGCGGTCTTCCTGCAAGCGAGTTGTGATTTGGCCATTGCTGAAGAATGGCACGATGCCAAAGCTTGCAAAGGACTAAAACACCACATGAGAAGAGGTCGCTTTATATCAAGAATCCTTTGAAGAGTATTAACAACACGGAGCACATGATAAAAGCCAATAGCAAGGAACTTTGGAATGCCTTTCCACAATGGCATGGCTCATTCTTGCCCGTATCTCCATCCTGTGGTGTTTGGGGACTATCTCTGAGTTACAAAAATACAGCTTGAATCTACACAAGAAGAATAGCACTGACTAATTATCAGTAAATGAAAAAAACTGACATCATAGCATCAAAATTTACCCCATGAAAGACAAGATACAAATGCCTAAACATCATTTACGCCAATCGTAGTTGGACCAAAATGAACAAAGACTTCATTAGCTGGCCGATGAAAAAGAAAACAACTGACTTGGGAGAAGTAAGCAATTAGCAACACTTCCCTTGTTTGTGTTTAGGAACAGAATTGATGTTAATAAAATTTTGTTGAAAAGGTGAAGTGCCTAAACTACGGAATAGAAAGACGTATTTGTTACTTGGTTATTGGCAATATCCAATCAGCAAAATCACCAATACAGGATAATTTGCGAGGAGGTCAATTTTAACTTTACGAATTCAATGCCGCATACATGAGAATTGAGCTTATCAAATCAGAAACCTATATGACAACATTCAAAGGAAATTATCACGCAAATAAACTGATAGAAATGGAGGAGCCTATTAGTGCATACCTCCCTCTGCAGAGCCTCATTGAGTTGAGGAGTGATATCAGTAGAATGCAACTGCATCAAACGCTGCATCAGGGTAACAAACAAAAATATCAGCAGCTACATATTTGATTGACAGAGAGGTAGAACGTAATGAGCATACAGAAAGCAGATTCAATTTAAAAAACTACATTTACTATCATTCAGGTATGTGATGTTGAGACCAGATCAAGTGGTTTGGATCTTCACAAGCATCAAAACTTCCTCAGGACACTCCGGTTAGCCCACGAGGCTCTTCAAGGTTAGAACACAAGATGGTGCTCAGCTGTTGTTGATGCTTCCTCCGCAAAATCCCATTTCTTCATTTTGATCGGTCTCAGGTATGGAAGTTGAAGGTCCTCAGCCAAGTTAGCCACACCCAAATCAATCATGTGACAAAACAATTCCATGACAACAATACGATCATATGGGATGTAAACTGATTAGCAAATTCTTGAGCTCCTTGCCCCAGCTTGTTTCACAGATGGGCAAAAAATTGTCCAATTAGGCAAAAGGTCATCAACACAGCTTATTGAATTGAAGTCCCAAAGTAAGCCTTGATCATCACATAAGACCAACCAAACCTGTCATAAAAGTAGCACTGGTTTACCTTGCTTGATAATCTTTCATAACAACAGTGTGACTACTAACAATGTTAAGGTGGTCTATAATCATATATGATAGAGTTGCAAAAAGTAATTTTACATTTTTTTTTATCACCAACCTGAAACACTTGAACCTTGAATTTTATTCTACCTTGGCTCCTCATAGTTACTGAGAATTGATGCCCTTCTTAGAAGGTTTAAGGGTAACATCAAGGGAACAATAAGAAACTTGACAGGGTTTTTGTTCATCACAGAAAATTTAAAGGTGTTTGTCCCCAAAATCAATCAAATAGATACCCAGTGTGGAGCAAATCATTCTTAAAAAATAGAGCTTCGAGAAAGGTATTTACTCTATTCCCTCACGCTGGCCGTTCAAGGATGAAGAATCTTACTAGATGACCAATGCCTTCTATTGACATTTGGGTCTACATTTTGATCTTGGTTGAAGCATCATGTCAGCTTCCACGACCAACTACCCTGCTCCTTCAATTATGTAAGACTAGCAATTCGGGAAAGGGCGGAACCCCGTCATGGAAAACCATCTTGTCAAAAGAAGATAGCAATGAAAAGTAGGACATGAATATTAGAAGAAAAATGATAGTTTACGATTATTTACCTCTGTCAAAAAAACATGACTTGTCTCACTTGTTGGCATGCAAGATGGTCCTCAGCGTTGCTGATGCGTCCTCTCGCAAAATCCCTTCTTTTCATTTTGATCGGTCTCAAATCTGGAATTTGAAGTTTCTCAGCCAAGTGAGCCACACCCAAATCAGTCATGTGATAAAACAATTCCATGACAATAATAGGATCAAATGGGATGTAAACTAATTAGCAAATTCTTGAGCTCTCGCACTAGCTTGTTTCACGAGATGGGCAAAAAATTGTCCAATTATGCAAAAGATAATCGATACATGATTGAATTGAAGTCCCAAAGTAAGCCTTGATCGTTACATAGACCAACCAAAGCATCACGAGAAGCAAGCACCGTTTACTCGCTTGATAATATTTCAAAACAACAGGTTTGATTACTTGGTAATGTTAAGGGGGTGTACATTCATATATGACAGACTAGCTAAAACTGCTTTAACATTTTTTTTTATCACCAACCAGAAACATTTGAACCTTATATTTCATTTTAGCTCAGTTCATCATACTTACTGGGAATTGATGCCCTTCTTAGAAGGTTCAAGAGCAACATAAAGGGAACATTAAGAAACTTGACAGGGTTTTCGTTCATCACAAAAAACCGAAAGGCGTTTGTCCCAAACAGGACATATGCCATTAGTCAAATTTGACACAAGACAACTCACAAAGGAACTCAAAATGGCCAAGGATTTTTTCAAAGAAAATATGAATTTTGGACAGGGAAAATCTGGGCGTAATTTACAATATTGAGTAGCAGAAGATCATTAGCCTCTAGGTGAAAATTTCAAATCCCAAGTTTACAGAGAGGGAAACTGTAAATCACTAGGGAATTCTTGATTACCTGCGTTTGATATTTTCACCATTGCCTCACAAGCAGCTAATCTGTTTGTAGTCTACAAAAGCTGCCAATGGAAGGATAAATGAAATACATTGCCACAACGTATCGAACAGCAATATATGTAGGCAAATCCAGAGTTTCCAAAATCAATCAAATAGATACCCGGTGTGGAGCAAATCATTCTTAAAAAATAGAGCTTCGAGAAAAGTATTACTCTATTCGCTCATGCTGGCCGTTCAAGGATGAAGAATCTTCCTAGATGACCAATGCCTTCTATTGACATTTGGGTCCACATTTTGATCTTGGCTGAAGCATCATGTCAGCTTCTATGACCAACTCCCCCACTCCTTCAATTATGTAAGACTAGCAATTTAGGAAAGTACAGAACCTGTCATGGAAAACATTCTTGTCAAAAGAAGATAGTGATGAAAAGTAGGTCATGAATCTCAGAAGAAAAATGATTGTTCACTGCTTATTTACCTTTGTCGAGGAAACATCAATCACTCTCTGTTGAGGAATCATCACAGCGTGAGTCATAAGACAGCTCTTCTTCATAATTTCTAAATACGCGTGTTCTGGATAATTTCGGTATTGCTTCCAATGAGTAACAACCAGAGATATTCAAATCAATTAAATCCAACTTTTCAAATCCCCCAAGCTGAGTAAGTTTCTTGCAGTTTCGAACATTTAGAGATCGCAACTTCTCACATCCCGTCAAATTTGGCAACATCTCCATTGATTCGCACCCCGTAAAATCCAACTCTTCTAAGAACTTCGCACCATCAAGACCTCGAATTTCAACTAGATTGTTGCACTTGACAGCCACTAATTTCTTCAAACACCATGATTTTGGACAGAGAAGCCTTTTAATGGAATTGCAGTCATATATAAATATGCCCTCCAAGAACTCCAAATTATCACTGCCCTGAATTTCGACTAGGCTATCGCAATGCACAGCACGTAATCGTTTCAAACAAATTAATAGTGAAAGGTCCAATCTTTCAATTGAATTGCACTTTTTTATTGAAAACATTTCCAAGTTCTTCAATCCGTCGAGCTTAAGCAATATCAGCTTACCACACTCCTCAATACAGAGTTTCGAGAGTCTTGAGGGAAGCTCGGGGATGTCTTCAAGTAGATGGCATGCCCGAAGATGGAGTTCTTCTAGGTGGATTAGGCTAGAAAGCTGTGGCAGCGACCGGTGCTTGCGACAGCCCCATAGGTAAAGGCTATGGAGAGAAGAAAGATCCCCAATAGCACTAGGAAGCTTTTCAAGCCCGAACGACTCAAGCTCGGGTGTTGCAAATTCGCAAATCCCCAATTGAGCTAGGGATTTCTCTCGATGACTTACAACGGTAGGCACTCGGTGTCTTCGACTTCCTCGGATAACCAATAGACGTAGGGATCTTTGTAATACCAGGAATCATCTAATACAAGTTCTTCTAAATCTTTTAATTCGCCCACTTCCTCTCGGTAGCTCCTTGAGACTTTCACATTCATGCAAGTCCAAGGAAACGAGGCTCTTGAGTTTGCCAACGAAGGGGTGGAGATGCTCCAGCTTGTGACAACCTCTCAAGGTGAGGATCTTCAACTGCGTGAAAGCTGAGAGATCAGGAGTACATCTGAAACCGTTACACCATCTAAGGTCGAGAACTAGTAGCCGCTTTGCCGTCTACACAAAAAAGAGGAGAATAAAGCTGTCAAAAGAATGAGAGTGGGGGATCGGCTAAACAAAAACAAAACACCATCTTAAATCACGGAGAGAGAGGGAGGATGTCTCTTTTTTTCCCCCCCAATCTTACCATGAATGTACTCCATCCTTCCCAATCCTCTGTGATTGAGTTCTCTGATAAATCCAGCACCGATAATTTCGGTAGATTGGTTGTTAGAAGAGACGGATCGACTCCGCGACCCACAATTGAAGCCATCTTATTTCGGGAAAGGAGTTCGTTGGAGTCTCCCCTTAAAGCTGCCCTCGTCCAGTCATCGAACCAGGGTCCAGGACCAAAACTCCCCAACTGTATCAAATCAATCCGTAGAACGTGTAAATTGACTTTTTAACTTTTCATTTTTTGCTTCTTTTTTTAAATCTTGGATTTGCATGATTTGTTGTCATTCTATACTTCCCTTGTATATAAATATGGACACGTGAACTCACCTTTAAATTTTTTTTTCGACGACCTTTTGAAATTTTTGAAAATAAAGACAAAAAATATTTATGGCTTTAAAACAATTAAGGCAAATGTACCTCAATGCTTTATCTTTTGCTTTTCTTCAAATTTTGTAGCTCGTGCACTTTGACTTTTATCTAAGACGAAATACATGAAACCATTTTACAACATACAAATGTTTGCTTGTAAATTTTCATATGACTTGTGTGTAATTTTTCAAAAGAATTTGTTAAAAAATGTCAGTGGACCACCTGTAAGTAGCTAAGGAACCACCCGATTTTCATTTCATTAACTATTTTTGTGAAGTGTTTAACCATTTCTTTGGAATCTGAAACGTTTTTTTTTCTTTATAGTATGTTTAAAAAGTGATGTGGTGACATTGGTTAGCAATACACGTTTTAGATTTTGCATGAGAATGATGCCGTTTCTTTTTGCATCTTATAAGTCAAGACATGCTGTTTAACTTTCATGCTAAAACAGATCGTTTAATTAGTTGAAGACGGTGAAAAAAAATCCCATGTGGCTCTGATTGACTTTAAAAATAATACCTATATTTTCCCCCAAAAGTTCAATTGATTGGAATTGTTTTTTTGGTTGGTTTGATTCACTTTTACGATTTGACTCGTTTGTCGTTATCTCTACTTTATATATTAAATAATGAAAAATCAACAATGGGTATAATTTCTCTTAAGTTTGTTCTTAGGAAAAGTCACCAAATTGTTGTAATCAGCATTCCACGCTATATTTCATTATTTTCGCTTGTTCATCAATCTATACAATATATTACATTAATAAATCTCTTATATGGAAAGGGGATATGAAACCTCAAACTTTCGTCAAAAGTTTCCACAATTCGCATATTTTTCACCAATATGAACCAAAGTAATAGGATATAACAAGATAAACAGAATCATATTTTAAATAGTCGAGACAATTGGAAATTAGTCCCATAAGTATTCCATTTCCAAAGTTAAATAAAAATTTCTTGCATCGCACAGCCATTTAATTTTTTTTCCAACACTAATTATCATCGTTCAACATTTCTGTCTTTTCAAAACAAATTTGACTTTTATTCTTTATTTTTCAAACACCCATATGGTGTGCTCTTTTTGCTAATGTTAAAAAATTATTGGATCGACAAAAGAGTGTGATATTGAATCATGGGAACGAACTATTTAAAATTATATCAAGAATATAAAGCTGTTTCCATTGCCCAACATCTCTTGGTTCATTGCTAGGGTAATTCCTTGCTATTGATCAGTCATGAGCCTATGAGGCATCCCAAATGGATAATATATAATAATAAAATGACACGAATATTGATAATTTAAGGAAAAGAGAAACATAGTTGAAGAAATTGGCTTATGCTGAAAATCATATATAATGAATACAAAGGTACGGATATAATAATATGCACGACATTTCCTCTAATTAGTCGAGTTTTCTTTTTCTTAATAGTCAAGTTAGTATAGCTGTTTCTGGCACGAAAGAGGCATTGTCCCAAAAAATATAAATAATACAAAACAACTTATAGCAGATAGAAATGTTTGTTATTAGAAAATCCACTCTTTATCACACACCTTACCTAATCCATGAATTGAGCAAGGCCTACGGGATAAAACCTTAAAAAATAGCAAGATTTTCCTAAAAATATTTTTAAGGGGATATTTGCTATCTTATCTATTAAGAGGAAAGAAGGATGAAAAGAGATAGAAACAACTAGTAGAGGGACGGGTATCTTCAATATCAAAATGGAGAAAAAAAATGTCAAACATTGGATTCCTAGATCACATGACCACCACAATACAATACATTCGGCTGTACTAGATAGCAAGTGCATGTGATAAGTGTGAAAATTTTCCAATCTTATTGTTTTGAATTAATTACCAGTTATTACAATAGGCACATACTATCTTTTATTTACCAAGAAATGTTCATTTATTTGATCTATATGTTTATACTTCATCTCCATTCATTATTGTAGTCCTTCGGATTATCAATATTTTCAACTAGATATGACAATTACATGCTTTTGGTAAACGAGATTTATAGTGTTAAATTATAGTTACAGGATCTTGAATTGAATGTCAATCAAATTTTTACAGATGTCATTTATATCAATGAAATCAAATCAAATGATATAACTTTTTCATCCTTGAGATACTTATAATTTATTTTGCTATCACAATTAATCTACAATGGACAAAAATGGATGTTTAAATATAACTTTTTTCCTAGAAAGAGCATCTTTTCATGCTTGATGAAATATTAGGATAGATCATATTAAATATATTAAAATAAGAGGGAGAGAAAAAGAAAGGAGTGCATGTTTTACCCATTGATGTCCTAGTGCTCTTGTGATTCCATTGTAGTCGCGGTCCCATGGCCCACTACGTTTCTCAAGCAGTTGTTCTTGGCAAAAAATACTCCTTCCAAGATCTATTAGTTGATCATGTATCATAAACTTACCATTATCTCCAATTTTAATTAAGCACCTCAACTTCAACTCTTCAATTCCTTGACTTGGATAAAACCCACAGTCCTCCCACATGTACATGGCGTACTTGCGCCTTTCCTTACTACTCTCTTCTCCAATAAAGAAACAAACAATATCAAGAAAAATATGCTTATGTCCATCTTCTAATGCATCGTAACTTATTCGCAATATCTTTTGGACATCTCTATGCGGTTGGCTTTTTAATTGCTTTTGCACATCTTCCCATACTTTTCGATTCGTTTTTTTATACAAATATGAACCAACAACTTCAAGTGCCAAGGGAAGCCCACCCATGGTGGATATGACATCACGAGATACACCCTCAAAATCCCTCAAAGAATGGTCCGTACGAAATGCGTGTCTGTTAAACAGAAGCAAAGCATGCTCCTCATCCAATTCATTCAATTCATACTTGTAGACTACCTCGAATTCAGATTGATCAAGAACGGCTTCATTTCTAGTTGTAACAATGATGATACTTCCTGCCATAAACCAATTACACTCCCTAGCCAGTGCATCTAGTTGATCGTTGGCATCTATATCATCCAGAAGAATGAGGACCTTTTTTCCTCTCGAATCTTGATTTGATTATATTAATTCCAACGTCAACATTCCAAACTTCAAGTTCGATTTGCAGAATTTCCTTAATTAGTTGCTTTTGTAAATAAGGAATCTCTTGTTGCGGCAAAAGTGTTTCTCGAATATCCGCAAGGAAGGCTGCGATGCACAAAGTCATTCGGCAATTGGGTTATAGATTACCTTGGCAAGTGTCGTTTTTCCAATCCCGCCCATGCCATAGATTCCAATCATTCGAGCATTAGTGGTAGGAGTGTCTACCCAATTCCTGATTTTGTTCACATGATCACCAATTCCAACCAAGCGCTTACTAACATCAAGATGAAAATCTTGTTGCAACTCGCTCAGTACCTTTTTCTTAACTTTTTCCACTAATTCTCCTTCATGCCTGTCCAACAACAAAACTCAATTGATAATTTCGTAATTATACTTAATCTCATCAAAAGACACCGACATACATGTGAAGGATGGATGGGGCCAATTAACATGCAAGATGTTTTGGTTTCACAAATAACAACGGGGGATGACAGCTAGTGACCGTTTCATGTTTTTCTCTTTCGTTAGATGAATCTTGTTGGAATAGAATAAGACGGTGAACCTGGCTCGTTAAGAGTCTTTAGAAGTATACTATATGTTATAAGGCTTAAGATTGCTGCTAGTTGAATGATAGAAGATCGATTTTTTTTATTAAAAAAAGTTAGGAGAAAAGGAGGTTACTCCACTCTAAGGCTAGGGCAGCACACATGTCTAAATTGAGGAGATTTACAGATCGCTACCAATGGGGTTTAGTGATGGTGGAAATCAAACATAGACATGGTAAATGTGAAGTAAGTGTCCTGTCCTTTTCAACTGAGCCGACTTTCATTGGCATGAGGAGGTCTATTGTATCTGGGGGTGATAAAGCTTTGGAAGATTGAGCAGTCGAGTCCTTTCTAAGCGTATTGTTTGGTGAATGATACTATTGACTGGAGGGGTTGTCATTCCTTTGATTTTCGCTCCGTTGGAAACCATTGTGATTCATCTGTTTCGCGTGATCACGAAAACTCACTTATCAAAAAAGAAAAGTTCGGGCGAAGCAAAGTACCGTTAGCAACTTTCTCGGATTCCCATCCATGTAAGTCACTCACTTCTCTAAGTGCTCACGCCCCTTCCCGGATATCCTTCTCATCAAAATGCTTTTTTACGCGAATGGAATGCCTCCCCAAAACTTCCTTTTAGATACCGCACATCCGATGGGTCCACTTTGTAAAAGATAGGCAACACTGTGTGTGATGTGCTCTTCTTGCGGTCCATGATATGAATGAGCTCGCGGAGGCACCATTTGCTCGAAGCATAATTTTCAGAGATGATGGGGATCGAAATCTTAGGCCGTGTGATGGCATCAAGAATCTACCGATCCAAAATCCTCACCAATTGGTATCTTTGTTATCGTCCCCGAACACGCAAATCGGGACAGTTCCTGCCTTGATCAAACTATGGTAGAGGTGATCGGTGAATGCCTTGCGGGTATCCGAGCCTCTAAAGCTCAAGAACACGTCGTATTGACCGCTATCTACATCTGTGGGTACCGGAGAGATGAACGAAGAAGTGGATGCTCCTCAATGCTCTCTTCCTCTCGCTCTCTTTCTCGACTCTGCCTTTGTCCATGGTGATCTCGGGGAAAGTTGAAACGAAGAGATGCTTTTCTCGTCGCTTTAAAAGGATTGACGAACAACGAAATATGCTTTTAGGATGCTTTTCTCGCAAATGCTTGTTGGCTTGGTCCACTCTAGATAACGTGGACCTCAATTTCCCCCCTAGGCAATGCTGAAGAAGGTTCGTGTTCCCGAGAAAGGCCTTCGGTTGAGTTAGGCGACGTTGTTTCATCTGCGGAATATTAGGTGGCCGTGAAGAGGCCCCCAAAAGCCCCATCATTTACTTCTTCAAACACATATTTGAAATTAAACATATTGAAGTGTAATTAGTCGACTTCCTTAAAACACATTTGAACAACTACATAACTTTACGCACGTCTATGATATTTAAAGACAGATTCTTTCAGTTCACACCTAAGATATTCAAATTATGTACAAAATCCATGGAAGCATCTTCTTATGAATATAAGCTCACACAATGCCTAATCCTTATCATAATCCGAGACCTTACTCTTATTATTTTTAGCCTAATATGTAAACAACCCTAACTATCTCCACCGCCTCATTTTCACAACCCCTTCTGTCTAATCCCATTTCCATTGGCCAAACTTATGTAGTGTCGTTTGATTGTTGCCCAATAAACCTCATCCTCTAGATGTGTGCACTTTCCTAATTGGAGGAAATTTTTATCAATCACGTTTTTAATTTGGCGGGATTCAAGTTTCAAGCATCGCTGATATGTAAAATTAACTAAAGCTAAAATATTAATCGAGGAAAAATTTTCAAATTACTCAGCTGTTTAAATTATGAAGGAAGTCAATGAAAATCATTCTAAATGAAAGGGAAATACTTCCTTTTGGGCCCACATTTTATTTCTTTCTAAAGGTGCATAGAAATGAGAGGTAATGCAAAAATTGTACTTTTCTTACAAAATTGGCCTTACTTCCTTTTAAAAGTGAATAAAATGAAGGATAATTAAGTCTATCAAAGAAATTAAGTTCCATTTACATCATTTCCACCCAACATGTATCCCAACATATATTGATTTTAACTTTCCCTCTCTTCTTTCGTGGTTTGCTTGTTTTTTTGTTCTTAATTTTTAGATTTTGAAATTTATGGCTTTAGTTTGTTCGAAATTTGGGGCTTTTTGTGTGATAAAATTTCATGACTCTTAAATAGGATTAATGTTAATACAAAAGGCTGCGTCTCACTAGTAATTAGAATATCACGGGGAGCAATTTTGCTCTTTGCTTTAAATGTAATGCAATGTGTTGCGTCTTTTTGCATGTACACAGGTTAGCATACTGCATGGTGTCATGTTGACATTTCATATGGTGACACGTTTAATAATCGCATTTGTCGTGTTGTCATCTGACCTTCTTATTAAAAGTGCCGTGTTCGTATTGTGGCAATTCAACGCGTTTACTAAACATTTCTTGTTCAGGTTTTGCCATATTTGTGTTATATCCTAACTGACATGACACAATTAATATGACACGACATGAATTGTCAACCGTATCTTTAGTAACATGATCGCTCACAAAAACAATGAAAAAAAAAGAATGTCCAAAGTCTTTGAAATTTCATGATTCACTTGATTTTTTTTTGTTCTCTCTCTCTCTCTCTCTCTCCTATGTTCTTTTCTCTTTTTGCGTGAATGTTGCTTCTCTATTCGTTTCAGGTCGGTTGCTTCACTTCTTTTATGTTTTGGTTCAAATTTGGTGATTTAATATTTTAATTTTATTTAAAATATTCTTAATGAAATTGGAAATGCGAGGTAGAGATGAACGAATGGTCGTTGTCATTTCTCTCTTATTTATTTCGTGCTGGCCCCACATGCCAATAATTTTATATAGGACAAATTTATGATACCATGTTACCGAGCTCTTCACTTCAAACTTTCAAATTTAAATTATCGTTTGATATATTGTCCACGAAATAGAGCTATAATTTGTTAAATGACACCAAATGAGCATGACGCGTTAGTATTAAGTTACTAATGATATATGAAATACTTGTATACTATCCTTGAGTTCTTTTCCGGGCCATTTTTTTATTACAATTTTGTTAGCATATCATTCAGCTCTTGTAAAGTCAGTAAAACAATGAAAATAGAAGTATGCGAAATATTCAAAAAAATAAAAGATGATTTAGGGAAAAAAATAGAAAAGAAGGGAATGAAGTGCCTGGGCTTACTTCTAGAGGTAACGTCCAAAAGGCTTTTGAATCATGAATTCATGACACATAGAAACCTTCTTGAACATGAATTGAAAGTGAAAAAAGGGAATGAAGTTGGAACGAAAGATGCTATTCTGCTGCATAAAAGGATCGATGAACTAATCTCTATGAACAAGTATGAACATGAATCTGTTACCAAGCAAGAAAAAAATGAACATGAAATCTTTAATTAATTAGTAATTGATTGACTAGGAGCAGTTGCAGATGTTTTTAGTCCTCGCCTTATCTTCTTTTGGACCTCACCCTATTCAAGTCAAGCCTGTTGGCTTGATCCACTCACGAGTAACGTGTGCGTTTTTCAATTGGGCTATAAGAATATGTGTACAAGTATACTGCGTTCAATTAAAAATTTAAAGCATACGTACAGTTTCTTATTTGGTTATTGAAAATTGGAATTCGATAAATCACTTAAAAGATAATGATTGAGTTGAAACGGAATTAGAAACGTGTAAAAGACGTCGAGAGAGGACCGAGCTAGTAATTGTGGATGTGATTTTATATTCTAATTTTGTTTAAAATTGCCATATTCTTAATGAAGTTGGAAATGTGAGGTAGAGATAAACAAAATGCCCGTGGTTATTTATCTTTTATCTATTCCATGCCGGCACCACATGGTACAATTCCATGTAAAATGAATTTCTTTTGAACTGGTATTTAATCACTGAGCCTTTTGTTTCAAATTTTCAAATCTAAAAAGTTGATTGATATTTTATCTGTAAAAGGAAGCTGCTGAGGAAAATTTTAGAGACGACCAAGGTTTGAAACAATGGCGTTGAGTGCTTGTCCCCATTTTTGTTGGAGTGCCCACCTTGAGAATATCACCGCAAAGATTCTTTATCCAATTAAATGGAAGTAGATTAGGATTATCAGCTAAATTCGTGATAAGTCATGTTAAAATTGATAAATCACATTTGGAAGAACGAATTTATTGTTTGTAACAAAAGAGGCGTAAGAAATGAGTGATGTAAAGCTAGGTGAATCTCCTAATATGCATGTATGGCTCGATTTATTTGATTGTTTTCATGTGTCATAAGATCAACTAGGTTTTTTTTTTCTTACTATTGGATATCATGTAAAAGGTCTTAAGAAGTATCATGCTATGGATTTTGGTATGTTTCATATTGTGATGATTGAAACTATCATGAGTTGAGAGCAGGTAAAAAGTAGCAATATAGTTAAAATGCTTAAACTTTCACCGTACGTCTTAAGTTTTTTTTTTTTCTTGCTATTGGAGAAAATGAGTTTTTTCTTTTTCTCTTTTTTTTACTAAAGAAGGGAGAAAATGAGTTAGAGGTGAAAGGGAATATACTTTCTAGGATTAATGGTCCAACAATTCAAGGAAAACATAATATTTCTCATTTGGAATTTTTTATAGGGAGGTAAAATTGTCGAATAAAATCTCCTTAAGAGAATACTTACTCTTAGGATGATTAGTTTCAGAATGAGTAGGTCTTAAACAAAGCATCAAGAACTTATCCTGTAATAATCGGTGCTCCGTATTTGTAACCGAGAACCAAACTAGTTGACCCTCAAACCAGCCTACTTTTATTTTTCTGATTTATTTTTCTAGAAATTAATCTAGGACCTTCAAACACAAAGAAACCTCACAACGCATAAAAAATAATGGTCTCTGGATTCAAGTGAAATGTGGCAATTTTGCACGCAATAGAATCTAGTGCACTTGCAGACCTCCTCGTTCTAGTTCAACAAAAGATCAAATACTGAATTACGATGCAACTAACAATCAGCCAGCAAGGCCATCATAGGATTAGCCACATCTAAAGTCGAAAACAAAAGGCTTTCTTTTTGCACCGAAGTAAAATCTGAGCTGGGGACATACCTCGTTGACACTTGACAGGCAACAGCGGCTCCAAAAGAGAGAATAGAAGACCCTCCTCTGCTATTCAGCGGCCACCCCAACGTCCCCAATAGACAAAAAGGGCCCAGAACACACTTAGTTCAGCCGATTATTCTGAAAACAAAGTGACAGAATCAACAGAAACGACACGCTAGTAAGGGATGAAAAAGTGATTACCTCCTGCGAGCTGAGATGCGAAGAGAGGCGTGAGATCGGGGAGAGGAGACCCTGAACAAGCCTGGGCGAGAACTTTGAAGAGGGAAAAGAACAGAGAAAGCGCGTGAGGACTAATCAGTAGACGATAGTCTCGAATGGTTTCTGCAAGAGAGAGGCCGAATGCGAAAGACAAAGTGAGAAAAGAGAGAGAGAGAGACCGTAGTAGACGATAAGTCTCGAATTATTATTGACGGACAGGTATCCCTCTATTGCTGATTGACTGGTAGCGATGAAGTCGTTTTCAGATGGCAAGCCAAAGTCAAGCCACACAATGTGGACCAGAGTACGGAATGACCACTTCTGTTCATATCCACACTTTAAAAACCATTTTGTTAAACAGATAAATGTGGCTCTAACCGTCTTGTGAATCTTCCATTATATCATTATCAAAGACGTTCTTACTTCCTGTAAATGCTACATTCTCCTCCCGCCCTAAACATGCATAAATCTTATTGTCAAATCCGTCGTAGGTCAGTAACTTTCTATGCTACATAAACATAAAAGTCACGTCTTTGCTCTAAGCATTTAAATTGCGTGAAAACCACACTTTATGACGAGTTTCTGTTATTCAATCTGCAAAGATAAAGTCCACCTAAAAATTATCCACATACTAAATATGTGTAAGTGCATTGAAACCAGCAGCTTTGCTCACTTTCAAGTTTTTCATTGTAACCAGCACAAAAAAATAGTACAATTGTGAATTTTTCATAATGTCCGGAAAACATTTGAATTTTCTGTCATTTTCCAGAAATTACGAAAATTGCCAATATAATGGAGAAAGGTTTTATGGACATCCAAAAATTCTATAGTTGATCCGATCTGTTCAGATAAATTTTTATTGTTGACAATTCTGATCCGTAACCTTTGAAAGGCTTCGTGTAAATATTGAAGACAATAGATGAGCACGATCGACATTTGGAAAAGTCTAGTTTTTAACTGTTTTCAAGGAAAAAAAAATGAATTATTTCTGCAAAAACCGAGTATTTTGGATGTTTCACGGCTTTGAGTAATTTTGGGTACTTATAGGGCCGATGGACCCAAAATTGGGTCTAGAAGGGCATTTTCGTAATTTTCATCGAACGGGCTTTTTGGCCCAAGGGACCTCAGTCAAACCATTCCAGTCTCTCGTCAAAGGTAATGTTTTGAAAACAATATCGGGGTGAGGGCCAGCATGCGATTCCACCAGGGTTCAACCGCTCCAACCCGTTCATACCCGATTAGCTTGAATAAAAAGATTGTAGCAAGAAAAATTAGCAATACATGTGATGATGATTTTGGAAAAAGTCGAGGGAATTTCACAAGTGATATTTTGTATGCCTTAAAAGGACGTTAGGTGTTATGCGATGAGTAATGGTCCAATGTATTTTTTGTCCTATCAATTGCAATAGACCGGAGAATGAAGGTCGGGCTTACCTCGAGGAGCGATGTAGAGATGAAATTACTGTGATGGGTTTCAGTGTTCGAGAGGAAGAAGTTGCCTCGAAGCAGCAGCAGATCAAGTCGTGTCCCAGTCCCGAAAGGCGGTACGATCCGAGGATTCACACCTTCACGCCTCAACCCGGACCGGCTCGGTTCGGAAAGACACCGAGGCAAATTTTGCAGATCTCGGGGTCAGAACATCCACGAGAAAGGACGAGTGGCTGCTACGGAAATCACCAACGACGGACAAGGGAACTCACTATCTTTCGATAAGATCGCAGCTCTTCTCCGGTGTATCTGGAAATCCAGAGACGACCTCGTGTGCTCCGACGAAGAAACCCCCCCAAGCACACAGGAACCCTAATATGCATCGGCGGAGCCTGTGATCAGAAATCATAGCGAGCGGAACGCTGAAAGTTCGAAACTTTGACACGATTCCAGTTGATTTACCTGCGAATCGGTGCCCGCCGAAGAAACCGGTCCCTCAAGGTGAAATATCGATGGGGGGTCCTTTGAAGCCAGTGTGGTTCGGAAGGAGCGATTGCGGGTGTTCTTGGCGACGCCTCAGGTGCACTGCTCGATGGGATTCGCGATGAAGAAATCACCTGCTCGCTCGCCGATTCAAACCGAAGCTCTCGCTCTCTGGTAGAGGCTTTTGATGCACTTTCAGATCTAGAAGAAGTACAGAGAACCTTGGTACTCGGGAGTCGGACAACGCGGCTCTGTTTGACTCTCTTGCTGGAACGCAATCACGCGGGCATGGGTGGGTTAAATTCCCCAAAAAAACCTACACTTTAGGTCAGGTTTTAAATTTGTCCCAAATATTTTTTTATTTCAAAAAAAATCTCAAACTTTAAGATCCAGTCTCAAATCTATTTAGAACTTTTTTTATTTTAAAAAAATCTCAAATTTTAAGTTCAGTTTCAAATCTATCCTGAATTTTGTTTTATGTAAAAAAAATCACCAAAATTCAATTTATTTTAAAAAATATGCCCTCGTGAACCAGTCCCAACTTGACGTAGCACTTCCACGTCGATGACAAATCCACATCAGCAAAGAAATTGGGCAATAGATACAGATCGACATCGAATTTCCACTTTAATAACAAATCAAACTAAATAAAAATATTAAAATTCTTCAAAATAAATCCATTCTAGGATATGAAAGTTAACGATGATAACAAATTCACACCAAAAAAAATTTCTTAAATTTAAAAGAAAAACCTAATCTTTAGATTCAGTCCAAATTTGCTCCGAACTTTTCTTTGTCTAAAAAAAGCTCCATTACTTTTTCAATGTGGATTTGTTATCGATGTGAAAGTACCATGTCAAGTTAGGGTTGAATCACGAGGGTATATTTTTAAAATAAATTGAATTTTGGTGATGTTTTTACACAAAATAAAATTCGAGACAGATTTGAGACTGGACTTAAAGTTTGAGGTTTTTTCTGAGACAAAAAAAAGTTCGGAGCAGATTTGGAACTGGACCTAAAGTATACACATGGCCCGTCGTGGAAGAACGGCGAATCAATTAGCTAATTAGGTAGCTAAATCGCAACATTTGAATACTTTTTTTCAGAAAAATTATCAAAAAAATCCTAAACATACTGTAATTATGCCAAATTCAGTCCTAAACCTTTTTTTTTTACAAATTCAATCTTAAACCTTTTGAATTTGTACAAATTCATTTCATCCGGTTAATTTTGGCCAACCAGCATTTACGTAGACACCGGCCATCTGGGCAACGCTGACATGGCAATTTTTTAATAAATTTTTTTATTAATTTGTTTACCTTTGATTGTGCACAAGAGTAGAAGTCCAATGAAGTAAGCCTCACTAGCCGTGGGCGATGGCGGCCATGGCCTCACCCAGATTTGGGTGAGGCTGAGCAAGGGCTTCATGGCCCATGCCCTGTGGTCAGCGAGCTTCGGCAACCCTCACAGTCCAGAGCTTGCCGGCCATAGTGGGAAACAAAAGAAGGAAGGAAAAAAAAGAAAATTTTAAAAATTGTCACGTTATCGTCGACCGATGTTGATGTGGGCGCTGGCCAACATCCACGTCAGCGCCGGCTTGCTAAAATTGGCTGAATGGACTGAATTGATATAAATACAAAATGTTTTAAGATTGAATTTGCACAATTATATTAGGTTTAGGACTTTTTTTGTCATGCCTCGAACCCTATCGAGCTCGCGACATCCCTCTTCGGTCGAATTAATGCGACGTCCCATGAAACGTCGCCGACCCAAACGATCACATCAGAGTTATAAAGGCACCAACGAAAGCCACAAACACCCGGACAATAATTGGTTAGAGGTAACAGGGAGAATGGACATCCATTACCAATTCAAACTTATAAATATCCATATCCACCATATACAATCCACATAATATACATGCACACCGAATTTCTAAACTACATACCTCGATATCAAAAGATCAGCTGCCTGGGTATACCCTATCTCCAAAAATGGGTCACTTCCAAAAGGTTTACCTAACCCCTAAAACTAGCCCCTACGCCCTCTAGGAGGTGTCCACTCCTAGTCCGACTCTTCAGAGCTCGAGTTTAAATCCTCCTGAGCTACCTGCTCCTCTAAGGACTCCAAATCCGCCTCGATCTCGATCGGGTTGTCTTCTTCCTCACCCGGCTCTAACGGGACCTCAATCTACTCCACCTCATCAGACTCCTCTTCTGGCTCTTCCTCCGACTCGTTATTTGGCTCATCCTCTGGTTCTACCTCAAGATATTCTTCTGGCTCGTCCTTGGGTTCTTCTTCCTGCACATCTTTAGGCTCTTCTTCGGGGTCTTCTTCTACAGGCTCTTCCTCTGGTATCACACCTAGATCCACTTGCATAGGATCATACCCCGCATGTGATTCTTCCTTGCATAGGATCATACCCCGCATGTGATTCTTCCGGTTCCGGATCTAGTACGGCCACTTAAGGCTCAGGTGTTGCAGGTGCATGCTGATGCCCTGATTGCGCCGGACTAGTCTCCAAGCTAGTCATCTCGCCATCGGGTGGGGGTATAGCTGACGGGTCCCAATCCCCCACTCCGTCAAAGGGGACATCGAAGCCACGGACGGGGCCAAACTCGTCCATCCCTGTCTCGGAACATTCAGGCCGTATAGGTGTAGGCCTGCTAGAGGAGTAGCCCTACATCTACCCAGACTACGGTCGTATGCTTTACCAAGTCAGATTATCGTCTATCGAGTACTCTATAACATCATGGTCATTGTGCATAGGAATCCCAAAACGCTGCGGCGGTGGCGGCGGTAGGTTCATGGCTCAGGTCGAGGTTCTGAAATGGTTTGGTTGAAACAACCATGAGACACGTTTCAATAAGTTGACAGCCTAAACCCCACTTAAGTTACCACTTATCTCCAGACAGGTTCAAACACCCAATCATTCAATACACACATATATACACACAAATGCACTTACCTGGACTCTTAGTGCACACAACCTGCACGTTAGTCCCAAATTCACAAATTTCAAACCACATGCACTTTCCAAGCTATCCTCATGCCCAAAAGCACATGTCGTACAAATGACATTTCTGAACTCCATATTTCACACTCATTCATGCACTACCACACTATTTTCATTTAACTTGCCAACGACTCGCGTAAACACGCCTCAGGTCCGATCTTACTTTCCACTTTCCACATTACACATTACAAATTTCCATCGCGACCCGCTTAAACACGCCTCAGGCCCGATCTCACTTTCCACTTTCCACTTTCCACATCGCACATTTCAATCGCGACCCGTGTAAACACGCCTCAGGTCCGATCACATTCTCACTTTCCAATCACACATTTCCATCGCAACCCGCGTAAACACGCCTCAAGCCTGATCACATTCTCACTTTCCATCTCTTTCCACGGCCCTCGTAAACACGCCTCAGGCCTCACAGTCGTATCACGACCCGCGTAAGCACGCCTTAGGCCGGTTCAATTCCCCGCGTAAACACGCCTCAGGGATTTAGTGATCACACGAACAAGCCAACACGCGCGTATTTTATCTGTACCCTGCGTAAACACGCCTCAGGGCTTTTCAGTGATCACACGCACATCGCACGCCTCAATTCTCACGCATTCACATACTCGGGCATCCAATACAGACACTCAAACGCACCCAAATCGACCGTCACAATTCAGCCCACATACACACATACGAACATCATATAACACGCCACTTTCACCACAAAAATCATGGCACAACAATCACGGCATTACACGGCAATTTCACGCAATTACTTGCCGAATCAAAACACCCAATCTACGCACCAAACAGCATTTTCCAGCATTCAAATCAGCCAATCACAGCCATAATTGGGCCTATAATTTTCCCCCAAAATGTCACAATTTCATCCCTAAGGCCCCACATCAAAATTGGCCCCTAAACTACACTAAACTGTGTCTAAACGGGTCCGTTAATACCCGATATCCTAAATAAGGTTTAGATTATAACTTACACGAAGTCCTAGGCTAGCTCGGGTAGGAACAGAGGGGCGGCGGTCCGGCGGCTGCACGGCGGTCCGGCGAGCAGCTAAAAGGCGGCGATCGGCGATGGCGGCGGCAGCTTGCTCGGCCAGCCAAGTCACGGCCACGGGAGGGGAGAAAGAGAGATTGCCGAGAGGGAGGGAGAGAGAGACGGCAGCGTGAGGGTGGGGTGCGGCTTGGTGACGGGCGGACGATGGCCGGGGCGATGGCGGCGACGCGGCAAGGGGGGAGAGGGGCGGTCGGCCGGCGAGGGAGAGGGAGAGGGAGAGGGAGCCGAGAGAGAGAATGAGGAGAGAGAGAGAGAGAGAGAGAGAGAGAGAGAGAGAGAGAGAGAGAGAGAGAGAGAGAGAGAGAGAGAGAGAGAGAAATGGCTTAAATAATCCAAGCCAATAATTGGTGTCCCAAATGACCATCTTGCCCCTCTCTCACATTTCCAATCAACGGCCAAGATTTGTTCATATCTTGAGATCGACGGCCGAGATCGAATCTTTTCCAAAAATATCAAAGAGTAAAATGGGAATTTCATAAAAATTCAAGGGCCAAATTGTCCAAAAATTGTCATTTCTAAAGTAAAGGCGAAATGACCAAAATGCCCTTCCCCATTTACACTTGGCCTTAACTAAGTCTCAGGGGTAAAACGGTCATTTTCCATTTCTCGCCAAAATTCGATTTTTTTGAAGAATCCGAGCAGATCTGAGGCTGACTAAGCCAATAACAACATCATCCAACTATCCTGTTGTGACATTCATAATTTCCGAGGCCTAATGTTGGTCGTTAATTAATGAATAAATTTAATTAACGTAACTTGAGTATATCTCAAACTAACGGGTGGCTTTTGAGGAAATTTGCGCATTTGACCCGTGCCGATACTGAATCAAGTCACGTTCAAGCTCACTCGAGTCGTGACGACTTCGATTGTCACTTAATCGCGAGGATCGATCGCTAGTTCCGACGGGTACGATCGTTTGGTATAGATTTAGGATCGTTCGTCAGTTCATTTCGTGGTCAAGCGGAATCACCCGCGATCCACTAATATGATGGCGGCAAATTAATCCCTGTCTATCCTTGGA